AATCCGCAAGAGCGCGCGGGATGAGATTTTGACAATTTTTTGTTGAAAAACCATTGGTTTTTTGATGTTTTTATGTTAAAATCGCTGCGAACACTAAGGTTTTGGAAGGATTTCGTCTTGCGCGCGCGAATGTCCACTTTACCTTATTTTTTGCAAGGGATTCTTGAAATTTGATTATATTAGAACAAGAAATGTTTTTTCTATTGTTTTTTGCAAGGGAAAGCGGATTACAACAAAACAACCGGATCCTGTACACACCCTCTTTTCTGAGGCTTCCTCACGAAAATGATGAAAATGTAGTTGCGGCCTAGGCGGCGCAGGGGGGGCGCGCACCAGGGGGCCCAACAATAATTATTCTTTAGAATAAATAATGTTCAACAAACACAAAAACAATTAGCCTGACGAAAGACCCAACCATACGTAGTTGTGAATACCGCAATTGTGGATATATTCTTCGGTGGCGCCCCCGGGCCACGAAACGAGTGAGGGGTGTGCCGAAATGGGGGGGTGGAACCGCATGCGAGCGCAGCCACTGGGGCGCTCGGTGGAGCTCCCTATGGAGCCACGAAACGTGTGAGGGGTGTGCCAGAATGGGGGGTGGAACCGCATGCGGGCGCAGCCACTGGGGCCTTCGGTGGAGCTCCCTATGGGGCCACGAAACGTGTGAGGGGTATGCCAGAATGGGGGGTGGAACCGCATGCGGGCGCAGCCACTGGGCCTTCGGTGGAGCTCCCTATGGGGCCACCGCCCTATGGGGCCACGAAACGTGCTGGGTGGGGCCTTCGGTGGAGCTCCCTATGGGGCCACGAAACGTGGAGGGGTGTGCCAGAATGGGGGGTGGACCGCATGCGGGCGCAGCCACTGGGGCCTTCGGTGGAGCTCCCTATGGGGCCACGAAACGTGTGAGGGGTGTGCCAGAATGGGGGGTGGAACCGCATGCGGGCGCAGCCACTGGGGCCTTCGGTGGAGCTCCCTATGGGGCCACGAAGTGTGCGAGGGGTGTGCCAGAATGGGGGGTGGAACCGCATGCGGGCGCAGCCACTGGGGCCTTCGGTGGAGCTCCCTATGGGGCCACGAAACGTGTGAGGGGTGTGCCAGAATGGGGGGTGGAACCGCATGCGGCGCAGCCACTGGGGCCTTCGGTGGAGCTCCCTATGGGGCCACGAAACGTGTGAGGGGTGTGCCAGAATGGGGGGTGGAACCGCATGCGGGCGCAGCCACTGGGGCCTTCGGTGGAGCTCCCTATGGGGCCACGAAACGTGTGAGGGGTGTGCCAGAATGGGGGGTGGAACCGCATGCGGGCGCAGCCACTGGGGCCTTCGGTGGAGCTCCCTATGGGGCCACGAAACGTGTGAGGGGTGTGCCAGAATGGGGGGTGGAACCGCATGCGGGCGCAGCCACTGGGGCCTTCGGTGGAGCTCCCTATGGGGCCACGAAACGTGTGAGGGGTGTGCCAGAATGGGGGGTGGAACCGCATGCGGGCGCAGCCACTGGGGCCTTCGGTGGAGCTCCCTATGGGGCCACGAAACGTGTGAGGGGTGTGCCAGAATGGGGGGTGGAACCGCATGCGGGCGCAGCCACTGGGGCCTTCGGTGGAGCTCCCTATGGGGCCACGAAACGTGTGAGGGGTGTGCCAGAATGGGGGGTGGAACCGCATGCGGGCGCAGCCACTGGGGCCTTCGGTGGAGCTCCCTATGGGGCCACGAAACGTGTGAGGGGTGTGCCAGAATGGGGGGTGGAACCGCATGCGGGCGCAGCCACTGGGGCCTTCGGTGGAGCTCCCTATGGGGCCACGAAACGTGTGAGGGGTGTGCCAGAATGGGGGGTGGAACCGCATGCGGGCGCAGCCACTGGGGCCTTCGGTGGAGCTCCCTATGGGGCCACGAAACGTGTGAGGGGTGTGCCAGAATGGGTGTGGGAGGGGGAGGAGGGGGGAGGAAGGGGAGGAGGAGGAAGGAGGAAGGAGGAAGGAACGCGAGGACCGTCTCTTCAAAACGAGGACCCAACAACACAGGTTGGTTGGGAACAACAACAACAACAACAACAACAACAACAACAACAACAACAACAACAACAACAACAACAAAAGGAAACAACAGCAACAACAAAAACAACAGCAATAACAAACAACAGCAACAACAACAACGAGAACAACTGCAGTAACAACAAACCACAACAACAAGAACAACAACAACAACAACAACAACAACAACAACAACAACAACAACAATCAGTTTAAGACTGTTCGCCCTTATTTGCTCGAGTGCCCAATAACGCGTATCTCCCAAACCCTCGATACCCGCCCTCTTCGTCTTCGATCGAAACCCTTTTGGGGGGTATACCTTTCTTCCCTGCAGGCCGGGCCCCGGCAAGCGGCGGGCCGGCCGCGGACCCTCGGCCTGGCCAGCGGCAGCGCTGATCGGCGGGGCGGCCGCGGACCGTCGACCCGACCCCAAGAGGGACGGACAGGGGACCGACCACGACGACGACGACGACGACGTCGACGACGACGGCGACGACGACGGCGACGGCGACGACGACGACGAGCGAAGGCGAGAGCGAGAGAGAACGACAGCAGGGCCACAGGGACACGAAGTAGGCCACGAAGGGCGACAGCGGGGACACGAAGGGAATGCGTATGGGGCCACGAGGAGCGCGAACGAGCGGGGGCCACGAAGGGCATACGTATACTGGGCCGCGGAGGGCAAGGACGGGGCCACTAAGGGCAGCAACGGGGCCACGAAGGGCAGCGAGGGGGCCACGAAGGGCGACAGCGGAGCCACGAAGTGCAGGAAGGGGGCCACGAAGGGCGACAACGGGGCCACGAAGGGCATGTGCATGGGGCCACGACGGGCGCGAACTATCGGGGGCCACGAAGGGCAGATCATGCGGGGCCACAGAAGGCAACGACGGGGCCACTGAAGGTAGCAACTGGGCCACGTAGGGTCCACAAACGGCGACAGCGGGGCCACGAAGGGCACGCACCTGGGACCACAACGGGCGCAAACGAACGGGGGCCACGAAGGGCATACGTATACTGGGCCGCGGAGGGCAAGGACGGGGCCACTGAGGGCAGTAACGGGGCCATGAAGGGCAGCGAGGGGGCCACGAAGGGCGACAGCGGGGCCACGAAGGGCATGTGCATGGGGCCACCACGGGCGCGAACGAGCGGGGGCCACGAAGGGCATACATTTGTGGGGCCACGAAAAGCAGCGAGGGGGCCACGAAGGGCAGCGAGGGGGCCGCGAAGGGCTGCAACGGGGCCACGAAGGGCTGCGGGGCCACGAAGGGCTGCGGGGCCACGAAGGGTTGCGACGGGGCCACGAAGGGCTACAACGGGGCCACGAAGGGCTGCAACGGGGCCACGAAGGGCAGCGAGGAGGCCACGAGGGGCTGCAACGGGGCCGCGAAGGGCAGCGAGGGGGCCACGAAGGGTTGCAACGGGGTTACGAAACAAAGCGAGGGGGCCACGAAGGGCTGCAACGGGGCCACGAAGGGCAGCGAGATCCCGATTCTTAGGTGATCTGTGATGGAGTCCTAAACGTGAGCGCGACTCCTGGGTGCCTCGGTGTCGGGAGCGATGCGACTGAATAAATTGCAAGAATTTCCACCGCAAGGACGCTACTCTTCAGTGGATTGCAACCATGTCTCCAGCGAGAGCGCGACTCCAGAGCGCCGGGAGAGCGATCCCTGAGTAAATGGTAAGGAAGTTCCAAGCGAGAGCGCGACTCCTGAATAAAATGACATCTCGGGCGGGAGCGGGGGTCCTGGCTAAATTGTGAGGAAGTCGCAGGCGGGAGCCATTGTTGTTGCAACCCGGGGGCCAACGACACAGTTTGACACTCAAGATTTTCCCTGCTAAAAACACGGTGCGAGCCCCGGGAAGGGCACTTCAATCGAGAAGAAACAATGTGCACCGGACCGGGGGGATCAACAATAGTTATTTTTCAGAAGTGGGAGTTCAACAAAACACAAGAAAAAACGCCCAGACTCCGCCTGCAGGAGGACGTGCCCGACCGAAGTCTGGGTCTGGGAGCCCGTGCGCGGCCAAAGCTCGCCGTGGCCCGGGAGGCCCCTCCGCGTTTCCGTCGGCGGCGCTCTCCCGGGTGGCGGCGCGACGGCCGTGCGCACCCGCTCCCGGCTTCGGCAGCGCGGGGGGGAGGACATGGGGGGGGGCCCGACCTTCCCGAGTGCCATAAAATAACACTCCAGATTTATAAACCTATCGGGACTGCCTCAAACCTCGACAGGAATTAGAACGTCGATGTCCTGGTGCTCTCCCGGGTGGCGGCGCGACGGCTGTGCGCACCCGCTCCCAGCTTCGGCAGCGCGGGGGGGGAGCAGCAGGCCACAGGCGAACCCTACCCCTACCCCCCACGATTTCTGAGGGGGGGGGCTCGCTTCGACCAGGAGCTCCCGAGCGAAGTGTACCCCCCCCCCCCCCTCAGAAATCGTGGGGGGTAGGGGTAGGGCTCGCATGTGGTCCCCTGAGGAGGACAGGGGGGGTGGGCGGAGGAGGGGAAGCGGGGAGGAGGAAGAGGAGAGCAGAGGGTCCTCCTCCTCCTGCTCCCTCTCCCTCCCTTGTTTCTTCTTGCTGCGCCTCCCTCGCTCCAGTCTCCCTGCTCGCACTGCAGACGCGACGGGCCACTGTTCCTCTCCTTTCGTCATGCCCCATCTGTTCTCTGATGTCTTCTCGGCGGCCGCCTCAATCAGTGCCAGAGCCAACCGAGACCCGACCGAATACCCTAGCTGCCAGTGCTTAACGAGCGCCGCTAGGTCGGATTGGCACCAACATGCTTACATTCTCTGTCGCTGGAGCCGAATGCAAAGAGTACCAGCTGTTATCGCGACATACCACCCCTTGCCTTTCCTCCATCCCTTCGACCAGCATCCCCACTTCAGATCACTCCTTGACCCTTGATCGCTCTTTTCGCGCTCGTCCTTCCTTCCGCCTTTCTCCTTCCTCTGTTCGAGAGGACCGATAAAAGGGGGGAGCGGAGGTTCCCAACCACGTGAAGAGAGACAGCCGCACGGGCCTGAAGAGGAGCCAATGGCGAGAACATGTGGCGCACTTTTGGAAGGGAAGGGACGAGGAGGGAGGAAGGAGAGGAGGAGGAGGAGGAGGAGGAGGAGGAGGAGGAGGAGGAGGAGGAGGAGGAGGAGGAGGAGGGAGGGAGGAGGAGGGAGAAGGAGGAGGAGGAGGAGGAGGAGGAGGAAGGAGGGAGGAGGGGGAGGGGGAGGAGGACAAGCTAGGTGCGCTCGCGTCATATCTGACATCCTACCCCTCCCTCCCATCCCTTACCATGGCGTAGATCCCCTCTCTACTCGCACAGTCGGATGTCGAGCAGGGCAATGATCCCGAAAGGGTACGCGATGCATTGTAGAGCACGGCATGGCATGGCGTAGAAGAGCACCGCAAAGCGTAGTATCAACCTAGCATTGCATTGCATGCCGTGGCATGGCACGGGAAATGACGCCAGCGCTGCAGCGGGAGCACGAGTCGAAACGAGCGGAAGCGCGGAAATGAGGCCAGCGTTGCAGCGGGAGCACGATTCGGAACAAGCGGAAGCACGGAAATGAGGCCGCGCTGCAGCGGGAGCACGATTCGGAACGAGCGGGGCCCGAAAATGAGGCCGGCGCCACAGCGAGAGCAGCATTTTGAAAATTATCTTGGCGAAGGACCCAAACAGATGCAATTGTGAATAACGCTTTGTGGGTGTCGCTTTCGGTGGGGCTCCTTATGGGGCCACGAAAGGCGTGCCACGAAATATTGTCCTGGGCGTACGGGACGCATGAGGGCGGTAGCACTGGGGCCTTCGGTGGAGCTCCCTATGGGGCAACGAAACGTGTGAGGGGTGTGCCGAAATGGGTGCGGCGCCGCCATGCCAACGCAGTCACTGGGGCCTTCGGTGGAGCTCCCTATGGGGCCACGAAACGTGTGAGGGGTGTGCCGAGATGGGCGCGGCGCCGCCATGCCAACGCAGCCACTGGGGCCTTCGGTTGAGCTCCCTATGGGGCCACGAAACGTGTGAGGGATGCGCCGAAATGGGTGCGGCGCCGCCATGCCAACGCAGCCACTGGGGCCTTCGGTAGAGCTCCCTATGTGGCCACGAAACGTGTGAGGGGTGTGCCGAAATCGGCGCGGCGCCGCCATGCCAACGCAGCCATGGGGCCTTCGGTGGAGCTCCCTATGGGGCCACGAAACGTGTGAGGGGTGTGCCGAAATGGGTGCGGTGCCGCCATGCCAACGCAGCCATTGGGGCCCTCGGTGGAGCTCCCTATGGGGCCACGAAACGTGTGAGGGGTGTGCCGAAATGGGTGCGGTGCCGCCATGCCAATGCAGCCACTGGGGCCCTCGGTGGAGCTCCCTATGGGGCCACGAAAACGTGTGAGGGTGTGCCGAACACGGGTGCGGGGCCGGCCATGCGAACGCATCAATTGGGGGCCTTCGGGGAAGCCTCCCGGCCCCCGATTTGTGGCCACGAAACGTGCGAGGGGTGCTGTGCCGAATGGGTGCGGGCCCGCCACGCCCCAAACCAGCCAATGGGGCCTTCGGTGTAGCTCCATATGGGGCCACAAACGGTGCCAGGGATGTGCCGAAATGGGTTGCGCGCCGCCATGCCAAAGCAGCCACCTGGAGGCCTTCGTGGAGCTCCATGGGGGCCACGAAACGTGTGAGGGATTGTGCCGACATGGTTGCCGGCGCCCCATGCCAAACGCAGCCACTGGGGGTCTCTTTTCGGTGGAGCTCACCATGGGGCCACGAAGCGTGTGAGGGGCGTGCCGGAAATGGGTGCGGCGCCCGCATGCCATCGCAGCCACGCGGGCCGTCGGTTGGAGCCCCTATGCGGCCACGCAAACGTGTGATGGGGTTGTGCCGAAATTGGTCTTCCGCTCGCCATGCCAACGCAGCCCACTGGGGCCTTCGGTGGAGGCTCCCTATGGGACACGAAAACGTGTGAGGGGTGTGCCAAATGGGCGCCCTCCCCCCCCCCCCGGCGGCCGCCATGCCAACGCAGCCAATTGGGCCTTCGGGGAGCTCCCTATGGGGCCACGAAACGTGGTGAGGGGTGTGCCAAATTTGGGCGCCGCAGCGTGCCATTGCCAACGCAGCCACTGGGGCCTTCGGTGGAGCTCCCTATGGGGCCACGAAACGTGTGAGGGGTGTGCCGAAATGGGCGCGGCGCCGCCATGCGAACGCAGCCACTGGGGCCTTCGGTGGAGCTCCCTATGGGGCCACGAAACGTGTGAGGGGTGTGCCGAAATGGGTGCGGCGCCGCCATGCCAACGCAGCCACTGGGGCCTTCGGTGGAGCTCCCTATGGGGCCACGAAACGTGTGAGGGGTGTGCCGTGATAGTGGGAGGAGGGAGGAGGGAGGGGGGAGATGGCGGAGGAGGAGGAAGGAAGGAGAGGAGACGCGGGGCACCGTCTCTTCAAAACGAGGACCCAACACCACAGGATGGTTGGGAACAAATGCAAGCGAAAACCCAACTCCCGGGAATCCTGTGTGTAAAAAACGAGTACGCGGGGGGGGGTGGCGAACATTTCCAGCACGTCATCAGGGGAAGAGGGAGAGTAGATTTCATATTGAGTAAATGTGGTGGAGAGGAGAGGAGGAGGAGGAGGAAGGAGAAGAAGAAGGGAGGAGGAGGAGAGGAGGAGGAGGAGGAGGAGGAGGAAGAGGAGAAGGAAAGAGGAAGAGGAGGGAGGAGGAGGAGGGAGGAGGAGAGGAGGAGGAGGATGAGGAGGAGGAAGGGAGGAGGAGGAGGAGGAGGAGGAAGAGGAGGAGGAGGAGGAGAGGAGGGAGGAGGAAGAGGAGGAGGAGGAAAGAGGAGGAGGAGGAGGAAGAGGAGAGGAGAGGGAGGAGGAGGAAGAGGAGGAGGAGAGGAGGAGGAAGGAGGAGGAGGAGGAGGAGGAGGGGGAAAAGGAGGAAAAAGAGGGGAGGGAGGAGGAGGAGGAGGAGGAAGAGGAGCAGGAGGAAGAGGAGGAGGAGCAGGAGGAGGAAGTGGAGGAGGAGGAGGAGGAGGAGGAGGAGGAGGAGGAGGAGGAAGAGGAGCAGGAGGAAGAGGAGGAGGAGCAGGAGGAGGAAGTGGAGGAAGAGGAGGAGGAGGAGGAGGAGGAGGAGGAGGAGGAGGGGGAGGAGGAGGGGGAGGAGGAGCAGCAGGAGGCCGTGTGCAAACGGCTCCGTGGGCCCTGCAGGCGTGGCACTGCAAAGATTGCGAGGCCACGAGCGCCCCCCGGCCTCCAGGCCGCAGGAGGAGGCTTGCCGCCAGGGAAACCATGCACTGTACCACTCCTTGGTCGAAGATCGACGACGCCTCAGGAGACGCCAACGTTGCATTGATCGCGTCGTAGACAGAATCCGGACGGCAGGTTTTCGGGCCTCGGGGGGCCCTCGACGGGCCTCGGGGCCGTCAAAAAACGACTCAGGATAAAAAAAAATGGTCCCGGGGAATTTCCCCTGGACCGTTTTTTTTCGGAAGTCCCGACCCTTTCAAAGGGTCCGGATTCCAAGGGCCTTTTTTTGGGAAGTCCCGACCCTTTTTGGGGAAGTCCCGACGCTTTTTCTGGAAGTCCCGACCCCCTTGTTTGGGAAGTCCCGACCCTTTCAAAGGGTCGGGACTTCCAAGGACCCCGTGTTGAGAAAATCAGGACGTCGCGTGTCTGGGAACGCTGTACGGTGCATGCAGGTCGTCCGCGGATGTATTCGGCGGCACGCCGAAAGGGGGCCGGGGCCTGCGGAGGGCCCGGAGAACTGGAGGGTCAAGATGGGAAGGGGGCAGCGAGGGCTGCAGAAAAGGAGGCCGTTTGGGCCGGGGCCCAGAAGGGGGACCTCGGGGGCGCGAAGAGTGCACCTCCCCAGAGGTCCGACGCCGAGATGTTTCCAATGCGGGGTCCCTGGAAGGCTCGGCCCATTCCCCAGGACCGGTTTTTTATCCGGAGTCGTTTCCTCACGGTCCCCTATGGAGGGCCTCCTATGGAGGCCGAAAGCTGCGAGAAACGTCGGTCATGCGTCGGATCTCTGGGTCGCTTGGCCCCCCCCCCGCCCGGTATCCCCCCCCCCCCGTGCGGCGCTCCACTGTTTTCCCAGGGGTCGGCCGGCTGCTCTCCCCGAGGGCCGCTCCTGGCCGGCGGCCCCCAGGGGGCCCGGGCAGAGCGCCGCGGGAGGCTCACGAGGAGTGCGGCCACGTCTGGGGCGGGGGGGGGGGGGCCCGCGGCCAGCGGGGCCCTCTGGGCGCCACGGCGGGAGGGGACAGGTCCGCAGGCGGAGCCCGTCGCCCCCTCTCGCTGGCGACCTTTCCCCCCCGCCTCCCCGAGAGGTCTCCGCCCGAAGCCAGCGCCCTGGTGGGCGGGCGAGGACCTCGATGGAGTTCTCCGCCGCGCCCCGAGGAGGCCAGAGGAGGACGGTGCCGTGCCCCCCAGGCCCCACCAGCGCCGATCCCAAGCAACATTGTCTCCAGACGTCGTGATTTGTTCACGGCGTCGACCCCGAGAAGTCTCGCCCCAGTCCCCAGGGCTGGTGTTTCATGCCGAGCCGTTTCTGTTGACGCTCCCGAGGCCGGGCAAGGGCCCCCGGAGGCCGAAAGTAGCGAGAAGCCTCCCGTCGCATTTGTTTCACAGCGCGATGGGGGTCAGGGAAAGCCTGGCTGCTCAGAAATCAGGAGGAAAAGAAACACACAGACACAATGAATCCTCGATTTCCCAGAAAATATGGGAAAATATGGGAAGTGGGGAGGAAGACAGAAACCCAGAAAATATGATAAAATATGGTAAATTATTTTATTTGTGTGTATTTATGTGTGTGTCCTGGGGCCCCGTCAAGAAGCGGGGGAACGCCCTGGGACGCACCCCAAGGGGAGACCATTCAGACGCGCCGCTCCGTCGAGGCTGAACGCCCCCACGTCGTACATCACAGGGGTGGCCCCAGCATGGCGGGTCCGTTCGGAAGCCCCACGAAGCCTGGGATGGGGGTCGGCATGTCCCCTGTTGGCCTCCTCCGTAAGAACGGTTTCTTGAAGGCAGATCTGCCTTCAAAAACCGTT